GGAGAGCCGGGTTACAGAGATCCGACGTCTCGTTCCGACGTCCTGCTGGAGCTACTGCCCAACAGCTTCGAACCCAGCCGACCTGCCGTCGCGAGGAGTGAAGCCCAGCGAGCTCACTAGTACCATCTGGTACACTGGTCCGAAGTGGCTACACGAGCCACAACCCCGAGCAGAAGTCGACAGCGGCTCCGCAGCATCGCAGTGCGAAGAAGTCGAGAGAGAGCGGAAGGCAACACCTACCACGGTCATGGCAGTCGGCGCTATCCAGCAATCTGGTGCGCACCCCGGCGCCACGCTTCCGAAGAGAGATGCTGCCCGGTCAGCTGATAAAGCCAGACAGCAACTGATTAATGCCGGCTCCTTGTAGAACTGACTGCAGCAATATTCTGTGTTCGATGAGAGCATCACGTTGCACCATGCTCTGTACTCTAGTAGCATCACGCTGTTGTAGGAACGAGTCAGGTACATGTAGTACACTAATTTCTAAGCTCTCATCTGGAGGGAGTGTGGAATATTGCATGCTTGTCAATAGTGCATGCTTGTTAGAGATTGCATGCTTGTCAGATATTGCATGCTTGTTAGATAATGCATGCTTGTTAGAGATTGCATGCTTGTTAGATATTGCATGAATAAGAGTATTGTCACAAACTAATGGTTCGCACCAAGCATACATACAAGCACACAAGCAATTGATTATACAGTCTTCTTTCTTCTTTCTATCGTGTCTTCTAAAGTATTTTACTTACCTTTTGCGCCATGGTACGTCTACGACGTTCCCATGGTCTTCACGTACGACATACGGTTTTCTAGCCCTTTTTCCTCGAGCTTGTCTCCTCGTGTCGTTTCTGTTTCATTGGTTTTACGTTGTCTAATGATAAGCAACAGTTTGTTTGAGTCTAAGAGAACCCAAGATGCGCTCGCGTTGAGCCAAAGCAACCTTACAAAGACAACCTTTTGTAAAATGTGTCATGGCCGGTGATCCATCTAGTGGCACCACAAAAATTCACACCTTTGGTGAGTCTAGGTCAGTTTGCTGATACCCTAGTTCGCTAAACTAGGGTATCAGCCAGAGCAAAACGGTCCGGTCCATGAGGTCCGCAACTAGGTCTGCCCAAACGGCTCTCTTTGCAGCTGGGACAGAGCCCAGAAATTGTTGTGCCCCGTCGCGAAGGCGGACTGCCAAAAATTGTGCACGCTGTGCATCATTCCAGCGTCAATATATTGACACTGCCAAAAATATAAGTCTGTACACATTACCATACAGATATAATGTACACACTGGGCTTGCATGCCTTTTTCACGTACAACATACAACTTGTTCATAATTACAAAGCATGTTCCATATAGGCATTCATCCATATTGGAATTCAAGCCCACATTACTACATATATTTCATAACAGAATTTCAGCATACAACACTTCCAAATTAGGAACTCCCAATGCTCTTGGGGCCCCTAGCATTTTGGCGGCCTACTTGTATCTATGTATATTTTGTGCCACTCTCACCCGCGTAAATTCTGTTGTGTTTTTACATTTTACTTCACTCACTTCACTCTGATGAGCTGCTTAGACAGCGAAACCGGTCAGACAATTTCGACCAGTAATGGTCAACCTCAAAATGTAATATGTGCTCTGTCTACTGTGTCGGTGGTTGCATGCAAAATCCAAGACCGTGGCACAAAGGTTGAAATACTTGAGGTATACCAACCAATCACCTTGGCCTGTACAAGCCTCCGGCATAATGGAAGGCCTTGCGTTTAGAGCAGCCCGTGCTCCCCCAGCAGCATTAGCTGCGGCAGCGACATTGGCACCAGCCACGGGACGGTTTTGAGCCATCTTATGTTGCAAGTGACTTGCAAGTTGGAAGATGCTATAAAGCACGAGAGGCAAGCAAGGCTTGAAGGAGAGGCTGTGAAGTTTCTTAGTGCAGACCCGAAGGTGGAATGATTTCCTAGCCCCACATCGGTCTCTTTTATCCCTGGGCTGCTGACGTGTCAGCGCCATTCCGCATTCCGCATTGTGTCGCGGCCTGCGCATAGCCTGCGCACGCAATCTAAGCACGGACTGTCGCCAGTCTATAGTACACTGTGCAATGTTGCGCTCCCGAGTAACCGTACTGGCCCCCGAGTACCGCTCAGGTGGGACAAGTCACACCTTATTTGCTTCCCGTAGCAAACTAGCCTGGAGACGTTCCTGCCGGCCCCATATGGCCATGCTACGCTGTTTAGTCTGACTATGAGTACAGCTTATAGTTTGACCTCTATCGTTCCTGACTCAAGAGTGCAGGGTTGTATGCAAGCATGCTGACGTGCGTCCCCGTTTGACTACTTTGTACATGCAGTCCTTGGAGCTAGTTTATGCCACTACTGCCCCTAGTCCAATATCAAACCCCCATGCGTTGACACACTAAACACAAGTTAGTTCAAGTTTGCCTCGAGGGCCATCTTCCAGGAATTAATTAAGTTCAACTCAACATCTCGGCTTCGGTCGAGACCAGGCTGGCGGCATCCACGGCTGCTGCATCAGTGACGTCCGTCAGACGCTCTCGCTCGGCCTTTGGCGGCGTCCCGGTCTGCGGAAACTGCATTACTACGAGGAGTTGCCGGTGCCGAAGGCTGTCCCTCCAGGAATCCGCGATTCCGCGGCCGCGGTCAAATCCGCGGAATTCCGCGGAATTCAGGTTTTTTTAATATCCCGCGGAATTCACAGTTTTCGCCGCAGAATCGTGAAAAATCACGGTTTGGGGGCAATGCGAGCACGCGCTTCATATTCATGCACATGTACAGTGCAGTGTCCTGTCGCTATTTTTGTGCATGATGTGCAGGTGCAATGGACAGTCCAGCAACTGTGCCAGTTGTCTTCGTTACTGTATTGAGCCTATCGTGTGTTTAGTCGTGTTTTCGACCATTAAATTTTGTATTGATACTTGTACATAGCATATAGCCATGTCTTTTCGCCGGTGCAGCGCCGCAGAAATACCGCAGTATTGCCGCAGAATTCACGCTATCCGCCGCATAATGTAGCGATTTGTGCCGCAGAATTCTGCGCGGAATTTCAACTTTCTGTCCGCGGATTCCTGGAGGGACAGCGAAGGTCTTGGCCTCTTTGGCGGAGGCCCCTCTTCAATTGCCGAAGCGAATTTTTTTAGTGCAGTGAGCACTAGTCATAGCCCGAAATTGCCGGCAATTCTTTGAGCAATATAGTGAAATGCCGGATTGCCGGCAATTTTTGAGCAATTTATCGAAAAACGTTAGATTTCAGATGAGAATTTTGAATTTCCTCCCTAAAACTGGGCTAAAAACGCCGTTTCGTTCTTATAAAAGCGCGGATGACCGCGATTGGTCCATATGTTGTAGTCTTTTGGCCGCTGAGTCGACTGGTTTTGGTCCGAAAAGGCTGCGATGCAGCGTTCAGCCCTTATTTTTGTTTGAGTAAGCGGTCACGTGCTCATTTACAGCCTGTTTGGGAGCAATTTGAAAGCAATATTTCGACTGCCAAAAGAAATGCCAGGCAAGGTTTCGAAAAAGAGGCGGCAAAATATTGCCGCAATTTATCGGCCCGGGCCGGGCAATTTCGGGCTTTGACTAGTGAGCACAGACGTCAGTCCGCCGGCCAGAGCCCGAAGCTTCTGGGCGCACGCGCGTGCCTGTGTCTTCGTGCGACGCCTGTCCTTTGACGCCTGTCCTTCGTGCGCGTGCTGTCTTCGGACGACGGGCTGCCTTGATGACGCCGCCTTCGTACGCCGTGCTGTCTTCAGACGACGGGCGGTAGTCATAGCCCAAATTTGCTAGCAATTCTTTGAGCAAAATATCGGATGCGCAAGTTTCCGGCAAGTTTTGAGCAAAATATCGAGTTTTGGTGGGCGTTTCGAAAAATCCAAGGGACTTCCTCAACACAATCAGTCACCAAGGTTGAAAACAAGCACAAAACGGTTGTAGAAAACAGACTTATGGCTACATTTCAGTGGAAAGTTGAGCAGCAGCAAGAGCTCAATCAAACATATCGTCATCAGCGACAATTATCGTTGACTTTTCCCTAAAACTCATTTCATCTCGAGCAAAACCAAAGCAAAATATCGACGGAGAAAGGAAATGCCAAGCAGAATATCGAAATATTTGTGGCAAAATTGTGCAGCAAAATATCGATGTAGGCCGAGCAAATTTGGGCCATGACTAACGGGCGGCCTTGCTTACGCCGCCTTCGCACTGCCACGCCCACAGGCCCTTCCCTCTTCACTTCCCCGTAGGGTGTCTGACGGCAAAGCCGTGTCCTCTCCCAAAAAGGGATACGGAGTCCGCAGCACACGAAGCACTGCAGACCCTTTACGTCGTACGACGCGAGAAGAGGCGCCATTCTTGCCCGACTAACAAGAGTATCAGCTCCCTTGCATGACTAAGCGTGGTCCCCTCCAGCTCAACAGTGTAGTGAGTACAATGCTGACGACTTGTACGGAAGGTGTGGCCGACGTACGACCACACTTTGCGGCTCTAGGCCACGAGTTGTAAGCCATGATTGCTCAACTAATGAAAGTGCCAAATCCTTCTCAGGACTAAACATGGTTCTTACAGAACTCTAGAATTATTTCGGAGCCCAGCTTTTGGCTGCTGAACTCAATGCGTGGTCGCTTTCACGACGAGTCTGATTCGGGTCATGACACATGCACTGTAACTGGTAGCCCTGTACAACATGCATTTGGTAATTCACAAGACGGGTCTAGAGAGTCCCATTCACCCTCCCCCCCCCCCCCTTCCCCGGTGTATATACTTGCAGCCTGCAACAAGTCCTAATTCACTCTGTGTGTGTGTGTGTGTGTGTGTGTGTGTGTGTGTGTGTGTGTGTGTGCGTGCGTGTGCGCGTGCGTGCATGCGTGCGCGTGCGTGCATGCGTGTGCGTGTGTGCATGCGTGCGTGTGTGTGTGTGTGTGTGTGTGTGTGTGTATGTGTCACGTTTGCGCTCTCCTCCCTTCCATCTTTGGTTTTACATTGTTGCTGTTTGACCAGCTGGCTATCATCATGAGCCTGTACCAGGAGGTAAGAATATTATATATTTATAACAATGATCACAAGTGGGTGGGTGGGTGGGTGGATGTGTGGGTGGGTGAGTGGTTGAGTTGGTGGTTGGGTGAGTGGTTGAGTTGGTGGTTGGGTGGTTGAGTTGGTGGTTGAGTTTGTAACGGAAATGCTTCTCCCCCTGGCCCTCGCCACACAACAACGCAAACTCTAGATTGTATCTTCAATACTCTTATATTATACCAAGAAATGACGAGGGCGCAGGAGGAGAGAGACGAAACTTGGTGAGGACAAAAAGGACAACGGGAAGACTCCCGGGAAAAGACTAAGTCCAGACTCGAAGAAAACAACAACGAACAAGCAGTAATAAACCGATGACAACTCGAGACGACCAATCAGGGACGAATACGTACAGAACACATGACCAAGACCAAGACAACCAGACCACGGACGAATCACACATGACTCTCATTCCCAGACCAAACTAGCACTGCGCATGTACAGCATTCACTTGACAGTCACTCTCACACAGACGGAAGCACATCCTCGCACTCTGACAACGCGTACTCTTGCATGCACCACATACCATAAACGTCACACATCACACCATACTCGCGCGTACACCTAGACCATATATGACATCAGACACTGGACTCCACAAGACAAGAACCAAATACAACGACATGCGTAAATCATAGTCGAACAGAAATCCGTAACACAGCATTCCCCTCCGGCGAGAGTCGACCTCGACTCTCAGAAGTAGAAAAATGGAGTAGGAGAAAAACAAAAGGGGTGAGAAGACACAATAACAGGAGAAGAAGACAGGACAACGGCAAGTGGCTGGCTGCAGACGTGGAGATGGGAAAACCTTGGGTGTGGTTCCACGAGGTGGTGCGTCGTACGACTTGCCCATTCGGATGTGGAAGATGTGTATAACATGTACAAATGGAGCAACAGAACACAGCAGGCATGTAGGAGTAAGCAATCAGTGAGGACAAACAAAACCTCGGCGCGGAGCCGGCATCAACATCTTTTTTATTTTTATTATTATTATTTTTTTTTACAAAACCCTCGGCTCGGAGCCGGCATAAGTGTCCCACACTTTTCCGATGTCGGACCATCGTGTCGTCCCACGACCCCGTATGATCCTCTTGTCGTCCCACGACCCATAATAATTTTATTTTACAATTCCCTGACAAACTCAATAGACACAGGAGCCCCCCAGCTCACGAAGCGAACCGTGGCTCACCATGATCGGACATCCGCAGGGCAAAACTGGGCAGACCCGCAGGTCGACACAAAACAAGATAAACAAAAGACGCTCACTGAAAGACCAAACCGAACTAAGCTGACAAACCAAACAGGTACACGACTACACTGAAAGGCTAATCAAGAAACTGCACAAACCCCAGCAAATATACGTACACTGACTGCCAAAACCCAAAACAGAAAGACACAAGAGAGACACAAGAACCGGATCGCGAAAAGATAACAAGCACCAAAAACAAAACCCACGACGCAGATTGTGAAAATACTACATTGCCCCGACAAACAGAACGACGGGGAAAGCACCCGGGCCCTGGGTGTGTCCGTGCAGTAATGCTGACGACAACAAAATAGGCAGGCAAGTGAATAAACTACAACGAAAGACATAACTGGGATTGACTCACCGGGTAGTTGTGCGCCTGACGAACGACCAGTTCCGCTTGCCGAAATAAAAATAATAAAGTCGCCACACGTCGACAAAACTGAAAGGAGAAACGAAAGGACCACGGCGAGCATAAACTACTTGTGGAGAAGTAGAATCAGGTTCGAGCCAGTCACCACGTTGGGCGCCACTGTAACGGAAATGCTTCTCCCCCTGGCCCTCGCCACACAACAACGCAAACTCTTGATTGTATCTTCAATACTCTTATATTATACCAAGAAATGACGAGGGCGCAGGAGGAGAGAGACGAAACTTGGTGAGGACAAAAAGGACAACGGGAAGACTCCCGGGAAAAGACTAAGTCCAGCCTCGAAGAAAACAACAACGAACAAGCAGTAATAAACCGACGACAACTCGAGACGACCAATCAGGGACGAATACGTACAGAACACATGACCAAGACCAAGACAACCAGACCACGGACGAATCACACATGACTCTCATTCCCAGACCAACTAGCACTGCGCATGTACAGCATTCACTTGACAGTCACTCTCACACAGACGGAAGCACATCCTCACACTCTGACAACGCGTACTCTTGCATGCACCACATACCATAAACGTCACACATCACACCATACTCGCGCGTACACCTAGACCATTATGACATCAGACACTGGACTCCACAAGACAAGAACCAAATACAACGACATGCGTAAATCATAGTCGAACAGAAATCCGTAACAAGTTGGCTGTTGGGTGGATGGGTGTGTGGGTGGGTGGGTCGATGGGTGTGTGGGTGGGTGGGTCGATGGGTGGGTAGTTGGGTGCGTGTGTGGGTGGGTGTTTGGGTGGGTATGTGTGTGGGGGGGGGGGGGGCAGGGGGTAGGTGGGTGTGTCGGTTGTTGTGAGTTGGTGGGTGGGTGTATGTGTGTGTATTGTACTTCCTCCGCGTCATCGAAATTGTCGCAGTTTGACTTTTGATGTAAAATGCGGTATTTACTCACCAGCACTCGTACCAGAGGCAAGGGATCGGACATAGGCGATAGTCATCAGTATAGGGTGACGGCAAAGTTCTATTTTCTGTTATTGGAAGCTGGAATTTTTGAACTAGACGCAATTTCTTCGCTGATGTCGCTGCGCTGGTAATTTCGACTCGCTGAGATCAGTTAGGTGTTGCAGCCTGCACATTTCTCGTGCTTATGGCCATTCACTCAAGCCCCATCACTGCTTTACCTTACCTGGGGTGAGAATGACTTCGTGGAACAAGTGGCAGCGCTTGGAGAAACATCGAGGGGTCGGCAAACTAAATGCCTGCAACAGCGATAAAATTTGTCGCTCTGGCTGAGACACTCAGTACTACTACTAGTACATGATTGTACCTGCAAGAGCCGTGTAGACTCTACACGTAGTGCTAGTGATGCACGCGCAGGTGCCGTACCATGGTATACCAGTGCTGAAAAAGAGGGCGCGCTGGACGTGATACTACACTTACCTGCATGAGCTGTGGGCATGCCACGGCTAAAGAAAAGTTCATTATTTTCAAGATCGAGGTGATTCCGCCGACGGTAATCAACCGACCTCGCAACGATCGTGTATTCTTACTAGGCTTCGTTGGTGGTGAAGTAGAAATCATCCAGAGCTAGCAGACGACAAGCATAGCAGCTCTTGTCCTGTGGAGAAAGTCAAAGCGTTTGAGATGAGGCGCGACCAACTTTCAACCTTCCTTGAAATATTTGGGAACGATATTTTTGCGTCCATTGACATCAGCGACGACGAGGACTTCATCTCTGCATGAAAACTCTCAGTCCAATTGTCCTAGAACGTTACTCTAGTCTTCAGACTATCATACTGTGTAATAAGTTTCGAATGGCTTAGTTTATGGAGTTGTCAGTAACAAGTGACAAGTCACTAGTCAAACTGCGAC